CGTAGTTGAAATTTAATTTAAATAAGCGAAAAAATAAGTTAAAAATAAATTAAAGTAAAAAACGCTGCAAAATATGTGCATTAGATAAAATAAACGAATTAGATAAAAGTGTACGATAATTTAAATAAAAATATTAAAATATCAAAATATTTAATCAGAGAACGGCCGTTTTTATATCTTTTTATTTAATCTTAAAATATATATCTATTAATCTCTTTTTGATTTTCTAATAATTTTTATAATAGATTTTATAGTAAAGAAATTCGGAATCTATTACATCTATCACAATACGCTAATACAATAACTTGTTTTAAAAAGACTTAATTGCAAACAAATATATATTTTTTCTCTTTTACACAAATTAGATTATTTAAATTAGTGAAATTAATAAAATAAGAAAAGCAGAGGCACTTGTTTGCTTTGTTATATTTTTATAAAAAAATATTTCAAAAAATATAATTTAGACATACATACATATGTAGTATAGTCACATTTCCTATTTTTAAGACAGCTCTTTATTCTATCTCTGTAGTAATATAAATCTCTTTAAATCTTTGGAGACTTAAACTTTTTTGGATTGTTCTCTCTCTACTTTACGTGCGATTTGTCATGCGATTACATTTTTCATAATACATACGCATACTATAGAAATTCAGAGTCAAAAGTCATCAAGTTAATATACCTATATAGATTGCACAAAACAATATGTAAATTAATTAATAAAGCTCATTCAGTAAAATAAAAATTTAGTTTCAAAAACTAACACACTTATTTTGGTTTATTTTCGTACAAATTGGTTTATAAATTATATTATCTAAATTATCTATCTAAAGTATATTGTCTGAATAATTTTGATGTACTCTCTTGTGAATACTATAGACTTTGAGAAATTCTTTCATTCTTTTTTATCTTAAATTACATTATACGTATATGCGTACGTTCAATCGGTATTCCTCCTTTAAGAATTCTTGACATCTGCATCCTCCTTTTCTTTCTTTTCGTATGCGAGCGCTTGTTCCCCTTCCTCTCTCCTTCTCTCTCTCTTTTTTCCTGCTGGGAACGCAATTTTCTTACTCGCTCGCTCTCTTAATCAAGATTCTCGGCTCAAGGCCGAGAATGGGCGCGGGAGGCACACCCGAGAACGTTAATGCACGACTCGCTGATCGACGATCAGCACGATAACGCTGACTTTAGCGATTCTGTTACAATTATTAACAACAATACGATTTTAATGAAAATGGTAATGTGTGAGTTACAGCACGGAGTACACTTTGTATACGATTAAAGATCACTTTTACGTATATTTATATTTAAATTTTAAAAATATTTCTCCGAAATATATAAACTTTGGTGTTTATCTTCAAAGCATAAATTTTTAAATTAATTATAGCAATGAAACTTATAAATAATTTTTTAGTTGATGAATTGAAATTTTGTGAAATTTCATAAGCTTATATTACTTTTTATACGCTATTAATAAAATCTTATATTGTCACATGGCACGAAACTAAACATAATATATTTAAAAATAATTAATTTTTTTAAATATTTCCATGTTTAATAATTTAATATTATTAATATTAGATTAAGAGAATTGTTTATATCTATATTTTATGTATACATATATGTATATACATATATGTATACACACCCACACTTTTATATATTTTTAAATATATATTGTACAATATGTCTAGACGTTTTCTATACTTTAACAAATTGAATCGTTTTTATCGTTTAAAACAAATATCGTGAAATATTATGAACGGCGATGGTATCATTAAAACGTGAAGTCTATCGCGGCCGATGGTAAGCAAACCGGACACGATTACAGAATCTCGTAAAGCTTCGTTGAACATTGCGAGGCCTCCGACACGCATCGAGGCTTCATCGTTTCTTTTGCTCGCTCTCACTCTTTCTCTGTGCAACTCATTTTTGTTTTCCAGCTGCTACATAAACATTAGTTCAGACTATACTTCTAGAATTACGTACTTCAAAGTCCCAAATGACAAGATAGCGTTTCGCACTAATTGTAAATCACGTATAGCAATAACAAGGCGGTCCATCAAGAGACACGGTAGTGTCTTGCGCCAAGTGTGGGCGCAGTCGAAGGCACGCGGATCAGCAACAAGGCACCCCGTGTATTTATATCTACGTATACGCGAGTCGTTTAGTTAAAGTATCTCTGATTATTGAATCTCAGTAACGGCTAAGCCAATTCAATTCTTAATAGGTTTAATTTCGATAATTGGAATTTCAATTATATAAAGAAAGTCTCTTTATTATCGTTCTGCGTATATAATATAAACAGAAATATTATAATACAAAGTCTTAATGTAGATATAATTAATTTTTATTTAAAAAAATTTTTTTTTTTAAATATTGTCTTGATTACACACACACACACACACGCGCGCGCGCGCGCGCGGGCGCGTATATATTAATATAATACGTTATATTATTCATTAGAAAGGATATTAAATATTCTCTTACATATTTAACTTTCGTCTGCGGTGCGAAATTTCAGTACTAATTGTAAGTATTAAATATTTTTCTTATTTTATATGACGGCTATATGACAATAAAATGATAAATATACTATTTAAGAAATTGCTCTAGATAAAATGCTGGCATTTATATTTGATTTGTTTATAATTGTTCTTTATTTTCATATATATACGACTGCAATCTTATATTTATGCCACTATTATATTTACATTGTAAATTGAAACTTTATTCTAAAACACAAAACTCATAATAAAATTCAGTAATACATAAATTTGGCAATACAATCCGCAAATGATACGATAGTGTTTCGCACCTAATAATCTTTTTAGTTTTATCACAGCATATAAATAAATTATAACGTATAAAATTCAACATTTTTATAAGAATGCAAACTGCTTATAAAATATTAAAAATTTCTTATACATGTTGGATAATATACTTGGAAAACTGTATTAAGAAATGTATAAAAAGAAATTTGTAAATTCCTGAATTTGTATACACAAGATTTTAATTATTTTATAATTGATAAAATTTTTGAATAAAAGATATGTTAGCAGTAATATTGATATTGATTTCGACATTGAGAAAAATTGCAACGGGCAATGTCACAAGGCGACGAGAAGTTTGTCGGGCCGAGCTAAGTGGCCGAACAAGAGATAGCTATCGAGGACAATGCTCCTTCTCAAGGATAGCCACTCTTCTCGATAGAGAGACAATCGGGAGACCGAGAATGCTAACGCACACATGTCAAATTTATTCATTGATGAGATTCCCGATCTTAAGAGAAAAACGAGAAACATAACAGATACGTCAAGATTTGCTAAGATTGAATTTATACATTTTACAAGGACATATGTGATGTCAAGTATACCATATACATATAATAAACAGCTTTTCGTGTTTTTATATAAGAAACATATTTTTCTATTTTTCCCGACTTCTGTTCTCTATTTCACATACCTATGCGTGGCGATATTTCATTTTTATTGTTTTTTAAAAATAAAACATTTTCAATCTTTTATCTTCTCACATAAACGTTATATTACACGCACACGCACACACAATATAATATCTATAATACATATATATACAGAGAAAAACAATAGTTCAACAGCAATATAGTGGCGCTATCTGTTATCGTGATAATAATGATAAAAGTCTTTAGTATATAACAACAGATGGCGTACATCGTGTTTTCATCATAGATATGGGTGCTATACAGGGTGTTTGGTAATAAAATCGCTCCACCCATCACGTGCAAATAGAGCGGGTTAAACCGAGTAGGAAAGTCTATCATTTTGTGATCTTTGTAATAATTAAGATGAGAAATTAAGTAAAACAAATCGGTCAATCATAACAAAGTATTCGGCCTTCGTGTCATTTAGAGTACTATTGTTGACATGCGGTTTTCTTTATTCGCGTGCCATACAGGATAATGGTATTGCGAGATGCTCCGTCGACTTTTAGATGATTTAAATATATATAATTCGAATCGAGAACGCGCAATAAAACAATCGAATCACAGAACGAGTAAATAAAGATAAGAATATAAGCTCCTCATGGAGAAGCTTCATGATACATTAAATGTCTAATAAATAATAATTAATTTCTATACCTGTATAAATCTAATAAATAATAATTAATCTCTATACCTGTATAATTTAATATTCTGCGTATACAGGGTGTCTGGTAAAATAACTGTCGCATTTTTTGTGCAGATAGATCGAATTAAATTGAGCGCGACGACGCGTTGAAATTAATAATCAAGTTAAATTACTTATTACACCTAGCAACCGCGTAATATTGGACTGTCTCTTTTCGCCGCGGAATTGTGCTCGTACGGATTGACTGAATCTGTTTTAATTAATTTCGCAATAATTATTGAAGATTGCAAAACGTAAAGAAACAATGTAAATCTAATCTTTCCTACTTGCTTTAACTCGCTTTACCTACGATGGATGGAGTGATTATTATCGGACATCCTGTATAGATACTGGAATGTGTTTATTTATATATTTTTCGTACAGAAAAAAAATTAAGAGAAAAAATCTCAAAGTGAATAATCATGTTTTTTAAGCGCATGCGCACTGAAGCTTTATAGAGACCTTATTAATATCAAATATACCAAAAGTACATTATAATAAATCGTCTTAGCTAATTTAGACATTTATATTTCATATAGAATTCTCATTATTAAATATTATCTTTATTCTATCGAATACTGATCTCATAAAAAGAATGACAAGAAATTTTCTACCGAATTTATTTTTGGGATAAAATAGATTCTTGTAATACATTAACGGACCCAATGTAAACATTATTTGTTTACAATGTAGTTACAGTAATGCAAATTATCTGAAGTTAATTTACATTAAAATTTTGATTCTTCTTTCCCGTTCCATTAGACAGTAAACGTTTACGTGTACCATATGTTCTTACAAAAGCAATTTCTATAAATTGCAACTTTTTTTATCGAAACAGAAAGTACTCACCTACTTTGCCGTTGGGACTATATGGATCGTAACTGCCTGTGCTCATGGGACTCGCGTATCCATTATTGCTAACTTGCTGCTGTTGATGCGGACTGGAATGCGCTACAGGAGGTTGTTCCGACAATTGCTGTTGAGAGGAGGTATAGACCACATGCTGATTCTGTAGAGAACTCTGCGGTGATTCAGGACTGAAGACTGCCCAATCGTCTGATCTAGTCGTCTTATTGCTATTGGTGATACCAGCGAAAAGGCTACTTCCGGTACTGATCGGTCCAGCAGTCACAGCAGCCACCGTCGATGTCCCCGCTAGATGATCGGGTTTTTCGGCCTTAACCGTCAAAGATGTGGCGCTACCGACGACGGAGGTGATTGCGCCAACAGTTGCAGCAGCAGTGCTATTAGTAGTATCGATATTCGAATCACTATTGATATCCATGCTGGAAGTTGTTGTTTCTATCGTCGTCGTCGTCGTCGTCGTCGTCGTCGTCGTCGTCGTCGTCGTCGTCGTGATTGATGGATTAACTGTTCCTTTTAACCTGGATGAGGTTGCCAGGATGACATCCCTCGTAATAATAACCTCCGACCCTTCATTATATCGCACTGTTACGTTGCCACTTAGTAGACTGGCCACCGTGATGAGGATACTACTTTCGATTCCGTAATATTAAATGCTTTCTCTAAATAATGTTTGCTTTTTCTTATTTTTATTGTTTATAATTTTAAGTTTTCCTAATTATATTTTAACTTCTAGTTGCGTGCACTTCTCAATAATAAAACATTTTTCGATTAGTTTGCCGTATTGCAAATTTAATTCTTAATTCTTTTAATTAAAGAACAAGAAAAGTCCATATCGATATATCGATCATTGGAAAATCTTTAAAGAAATCAATGATTTCATATCATATTTAATATACTAAAGTAATCAATCGATTTAAGATTGCGATTTATATTGTTGAAAAAGTTAAGTTAATCACAGCCTTTTTTATCGCATCTTGACGTGCGCGAAAGTTTGCTGTAGCTTTATAGTTGAAATTGTTGCCTGCTACTGCCTCGAGATATCCTGTAACATAAAATAAATTGATATCTTAATTGACATTATTATTCGACACACATTTAATAACTATGGTAATTACGATTTATGGTGCTTCCAAGTCTAAAGAAAAAGATGGATTAATTTTTTTTATAAATAATTTTTATCTATAAGAATGACAAAAACATTTTTTTATATACACGCATCTTTTTAGTTTAACTTTGCTTTATATTTCTTTTTATATTGATATTAAAAAAATATAAAAATTTTTCTTTTATTTCTAATTTCTATGCAAGAAATATGGTTCAATCTACACATATATAATAAAAATATACATTATTTATATTGTACATTATGCACATATATAATGTATATTTATGAATTGTGTGTGCGTGTGTGTGGGGGGGGGGGGGACAATCGATAAATATTACTTGAACAAATTACACCGTCATTGTCTTGACAACATTGTCAATATCAAAATCCTTAGCATAATTTTTAGAATAAATATATGTTAAAATTTGTTGACAATTTTAATTTTGCTTTCATTTTTGAAAATAAATTCTATTAATGCAACCGTTGAGTTTAGACATTTTTTTGTAATTGTTTTTTATATTTTTTTATTTTTTGTGTTTCTCAAGTACTCAATAATAACTTCTTAATTTATTTTATATGTATATTATAAAATAAAAATTATACTAAAAGTATACTTTAATTCCTTTGCAACGTTGCTATTAATAAAGTTTTACAAATAGTTTTTATATAGCTTGTTTATTTTTTGATTAATAAGTCTTCAATAGTTCTAAGCCAAAACTATGATAAATGAATTATAGATAAAGTGGAAGATAATCAAAAAGACTGAAAAAGAAACTTAAAAAAGAAAAAGAAAAGAATAAAAAATAAGAAAAACAGTAAAAGATATGGAATAAAAAGAGAAAGACAAGAGAAGCAAAAAGAAGATTATAGATAAGGATGACGAATAAAAGGCTAGGGAAAATAAGAGCTTAATGAGAATACTAAAATACTGGAAAACGTAGCAGAGAGAAGAAAAAAGAAGGAAGAAAAATCGAATACGAAAGAGAAGAAAGTACGTTATATTTAATTTAATAGAGAAGTTATATTTTATTGAAAAGTAGTGATGTATTTTACTTGAATAATACTTGAAACCCATACAAGTTTCGTATCGATCGAGTTACCCGTTTTCCTCTATTTCTCCCCTCTCATCTTTCCTCGCGACAGAATTTAGTGCGGAGGAGGAATCTAACCTAACCTAACTTTCGCTAACCCTGACCCACCCTATTGGTCGACCTGACAATCTATTTTTTCCGTTTTATACTAATATTTAATATTATGCTAATGTAAAAATCGCTATTTGAGAAATTTATTAATACTTCCTATTATTAGACTTTAAATATAAATAAATTAATTTCAAAGTTTACAAAAAGAACATATATATGCATATAAACAATGATATATGCAGCAACGGTAATAGTATTTTTATATGTCAATATGTAATGTAGATTATAAAAGAAAATGTAAAAATAGCAACTTTAAAATATATTATTTGAGATTTTTTTGTATGATATTTAAAAACGGATCTAATGCCGTTATTTAAAAATGAAAAATGTAATGCTCTTGATAAAGTATATATAATTTAAAAATAAAAATAGATAACAAAATATGTCACCTCTTAACTTAATTCTATTAAAATTTTCAACCAATAGAAATAATTAAAAAAATTATTTACATTTAATAAGTATATTTGGCATTGAAAATTACTTTAATTTTAAAAAATACGCAATAATTTGAAAATTATTAAAATTCAAGATTCTTAAGGATAATCCAAAACTTTTATAAAATATATTTAAACTTTCGTAAACAGAACTATTTTCTGATGTGCGAGAATTATCTATAAGTCTTGTAAATCATTTAAGGGCTTGAAAAGTTACAATTAGCTGCTATAGCTTGTAAAATTGTTGAACAAATTGAATATTGATAATTGTCTTCTTTCTATAATTATTATTTTGTTAAGAATAGAAAAATCTACATCACCTTACCGCACTTAAATTAAAAATATAAATAATTAAATAAACTGAGTAAAATTAAATCGTGTCGAGTTGAATTAAATGATTTTTTTTCTGGATTCTCATATTAAGAAAAGTTGTTTTATAAATGTTTTTACAAGTTGCCCTAGATTATACAATTTCCGCGCGCTTATTCGTATATTCTTCAAGTAGAACTGCCATCACGCGCAAGCGTGATATTTCTGGGCCATCTTATACATCCACACATCTATATATGGTCTTTTTCTCTCGTCTCACTCTCTCCTGGTAACTAGGGCATCGGATCGATTCTGCAACGGCGACACAGACGCCATCACTACTGGCACTACTAACGCCATCATTACTAAACTATTATCGACATCATCATTACTATTACAATCATCACCACTAGTACCGCCAGCACGCTATTCTCCTCTATTATCATCACAATCGACAACTGAATATCACTAATATATAATTATAAATAATTTATTATTATGTAACAAAATTTGTAATACAAGAGAGAAGATAAAAGCGTGCGAGAGAGAGAGAAAGAGAGAGAGAGAGAGAGAGATTTGCAAAGATATTTACAATTGAGGTTTAGTTTCTCTTATTTAGAAGACTCGAATGGATTTCAGAGTAAAAAGACATTTTTGACTTGAGCTTGCTCTACATGCATTTAAAGGGGAGGAGAAATAAAAGTTATTTTTAATTTTAGTTGTTTAAATTAGAGACCTAATTTAAATTAAATTTCGCGAAATTAATACTTTCAAATTTACAATAGAGAATTGTAACAAAGATTTATATTTTATTTGACCAATTTTTTTCATACAAACATAATACTAAAATCTCTAAATATTTAAGACATAATAATTTGTATCTATTTAAGAGTAATTTTTTGTATTATATATAAAAAAAGTATTGCATATAATATAAAAATACTATATATAAAAAGATTTATATTATACATAAAAATCGTACACTTCAAATATTTTATTTGTAGCTTTCATATTTTAATGTGAATTCACATTGTGTGTGTGTGTGTGTGTGTGTGTATAATACTTTTCAGAGTTAGAACGTTTGATGATGCAATGTAATAGTATGTTTGTATGTATGTTTACTTCAATTTGACCTAAATGCAAAATTTGTGCTTGATCTTCACGAACGCATGCATATTATTATCTTTTAATACTATGAAAATTTTTACAATAAAAAAACCTAAGAAAGATGAATGCTGCAAAAAATCTCTCAACAATCTCGAAATGTATAGATCTTGTCTATTTTTGTCTTTAAACACAAAAAATAAGTAATAAATCTAACAAGAAAAAATATATGTACACACATACATATATACATATAAATTTTCGGAGTAGCTAGCAAAGCGAAGCTGTCTGTGCTCTAGTTGCAATGCGCATGCACTCTGCGTATGAAAATTACCGAGCAACGACGTAACCATCACGGCTGACGCCGATGCCGACTCTGACGCTGACGCTGACCCCGTCGCCGCCGACACTGACGCTAACGTCGCCAGGACATAAGAGAGAAATCGATTTCCGCTCTATCATAAATTCACTTTTCAATAAGACCATTGACCACATTTACAAATGTATAAATACAAACAATATTTACAATCGAAAGCAATTATATCTTATTTTCATCTTTTAATTAGCAAAATATAATAAGTGATACATCAGCACATTTTCTGTTAGAAAAAACAATATTTTATGATTGCAGTAAAATATTTACAATTAGTTATAATAAATAGTTGCAATAAAAATAAATTATATGAATTACGATAATTTTTACAAGAAATAATATTAATAACAATTGAAATAAAAGCATATTTATTTTAATAATAATACAATAATAAATAACAATCTTTTTTAAATTTCTTATAAGTTAAAAGAATATGTGTGCATAAAAACATTAATACAAGAAATGCGCTTTAATTTTATTTTATTTAAGTCTACCAAAAAAATATATATAGTCATTTTAAAGTTATATTTTGCACAGATTAAATTAGAAACTCTTCAATACTACAATAAACACATTTTTTATATTTTTTATATTTTTTGTCATTTTATTTTCATAATAAAATTTGAACAAGATTAGTTTTCTAATCATCCAACTAATATGTATTTCAAATGTAGAAAATATGGTATGTCAATTGATTAATCAACTATAAATTTTGTTCAAAAATTTCTTTACATGCAAATAAAATATGAGAAAACGAAAATAAAAATATTTTTGGAATATAAGTATGCTGTCTTCTAAGCCGGGCAATAGAGCCAAGGAAACAAAACGAAAAATTAATTAAATATTTTTACTGTAATATTTAAAAATTTTTAATTTTAAGCTGTGCATGCACGCTATCATAACATACAAAGATTAATAATAGCATATTTAAACGAATTAGGCGTTCTCAATAGTTCTCAATAGAATCTTTTAAGGAAATACAAATTTAAAAAAAATGTGAAAAGAAAAAGATTTATTGCAAAGTCTAAAGTTAATCATGTATAAAAACGAAACTATTAAATATATATATATATATATATATATATATGTGAAATCAAATATAGCGAAATATCAAATATGTGAAATATCATACCTAAGTCAGCATTTTCAATTAAAATTAGTCTTTGATTATCTTATGAAATACACTGTAAAATCTGAGAGTAGCACATGCAAAATTTATGTAAAATAAAAATAAATATTTCAAAAGTTTTTAAAAGAAACTGTTTGAGAAGTCTCATTCAGAATACGAGAGAAATTCAAAGATAAAAAATAATCATTATATATACATTTAATAGATTGTGCTACGAGAATTATTTAAACCATATATAATATCTATATAAAAACGTGTGTGTGTGTGTGTGTGTGTGTGTGTATTAAATATATACATATATACATATATGTACGTACAACGTGCATATATACATACATACATAGAAGGTGTCTTGTAAAGATCGAATCAATACTTAAGGGTAGATT